AATCCTGAAAAATAGAAAAATAATCATTAAAAATGGATTTATTCTAATAGAAAATTCAAATCTTACCTTTTTAGTATTCATTTTGAAAACATAATAGTCTTGAAAAGGAAGAAAACTGTCGAAATTCCAAGGAAACTCTCCAAATTATCCAAATTGACTGTATTGCTAGTTACATCGAGTTCTAATGCTCACTCATAAGGCTTGAAACAGCTGAATAATCCTGAAAAATAGAAAAAAAAAACATTAAAAATGGGTTCATTCTTATAGAAAATTCAATTCTTACCTTTTTAGTATTCATTTTGAAAACATAATAGTCTTGAAAAGAAAGAAAACTGTCGAAATTCCAAGGAAACTCTCCAAATTATCCAAATTGACTGTATTGTTAGTCATATCGAGTTCTAATGCTCACTCATAAGGCTTGAAACAGCATTATAATCCTGAAAAATAGAAAAAGAATCATTAAAAATGGATTTATTCTAATAGAAAATTCAAATCTTACCTTTTTAGTATTCATTTTGAAAACATAATAGTCTTGAAAAGAAAGAAAACTGTCAAAATTCCAAGGAAACTCTCCAAATTATCCAAATTGACTGTATTGTTAGTCATATCGAGTTCTAATGCTCACTCATAAGGCTTGAAACAGCTGAATAATCCTGAAAAATAGAAAAAAAAAACATTAAAAATGGGTTCATTCTTATAGAAAATTCAATTCTTACCTTTTTAGTATTCATTTTGAAAACATAATAGTCTTGAAAAGAAAGAAAACTGTCGAAATTCCAAGGAAACTCTCCAAATTATCCAAATTGACTGTATTGCTAGTCATATCGAGTTCTAATCCTCTCTCATAAGGCTTGAAACAGCTGAATAATCCTGAAAAATAGAAAAAAAAACATTAAAAATGGGTTCATTCTTATAGAAAATTCAATTCTTACCTTTTTAGTATTCATTTTGAAAACATAATATTCTTGAAAAGAAAGAAAACTGTCGAAATTCCAAGGAAACTCTCCAAATTATCCAAATTGACTGTATTGCTAGTCATATCGAGTTCTAATCCTCTCTCATAAGGCTTGAAACAGCTGAATAATCCTGAAAAATAGAAAAAAAAAACATTAAAAATGGGTTCATTCTTATAGAAAATTCAATTCTTACCTTTTTAGTATTCATTTTGAAAACATAATAGTCTTGAAAAGAAAGAAAACTGTCGAAATTCCAAGGAAACTCTCCAAATTATCCAAATTGACTGTATTGTTAGTCATATCGAGTTCTAATCCTCTCTCATAAGGCTTGAAACAGCTGAATAATCCTGAAAAATAGAAAAAGAATCATTAAAAATGGATTTATTCTAATAGAAAATTCAAATCTTACCTTTTTAGTATTCATTTTGAAAACATAATAGTCTTGAAAAGGAAGAAAACTGTCGAAATTCCAAGGAAACTCTCCAAATTATCCAAATTGACTGTATTGCTAGTCATATCGAGTTCTAATCCTCTCTCATAAGGCTTGAAACAGCTGAATAATCCTGAAAAATAGAAAAAGAATCATTAAAAATGGATTTATTCTAATAGAAAATTCAATTCTTACCTTTTTAGTATTCATTTTGAAGACATAATAGTCTTGAAAACGGAAGAAAACGGTCAAAATTCCAAGGAAACTCTCCAAATTATCCAAATTGACTGTATTGCTAGTCATATCGAGTTCTAATGCTCACTCATAAGGCTTGAAACAGCATTATAATCCTGAAAAATAGAAAAAGAATCATTAAAAATGGATTTATTCTAATAGAAAATTCAAATCTTACCTTTTTAGTATTCATTTTGAAGACATAATAGTCTTGAAAATGGAAGAAAACTGTCGAAATTCCAAGGAAACTCTCCAAATTATCCAAATTGACTGTATTGTTAGTCATATCGAGTTCTAATGCTCACTCATAAGGCTTGAAACAGCATTATAATCCTGAAAAATAGAAAAATAATCATTAAAAATGGATTTATTCTAATAGAAAATTCAAATCTTACCTTTTTAGTATTCATTTTGAAAACATAATAGTCTTGAAAAGAAAGAAAACTGTCAAAATTCCAAGGAAACTCTCCAAATTATCCAAATTGACTGTATTGCTAGTTACATCGAGTTCTAATGCTCACTCATAAGGCTTGAAACAGCATTATAATCCTGAAAAATAGAAAAAAAAACATTAAAAATGGGTTCATTCTTATAGAAAATTCAATTCTTACCTTTTTAGTATTCATTTTGAAGACATAATAGTCTTGAAAATGGAAGAAAACTGTCGAAATTCCAAGGAAACTCTCCAAATTATCCAAATTGACTGTATTGTTAGTCATATCGAGTTCTAATGCTCACTCATAAGGCTTGAAACAGCATTATAATCCTGAAAAATAGAAAAATAATCATTAAAAATGGATTTATTCTAATAGAAAATTCAAATCTTACCTTTTTAGTATTCATTTTGAAAACATAATAGTCTTGAAAAGGAAGAAAACTGTCGAAATTCCAAGGAAACTCTCCAAATTATCCAAATTGACTGTATTGTTAGTCATATCGAGTTCTAATGCTCACTCATAAGGCTTGAAACAGCTGAATAATCCTGAAAAATAGAAAAAAAAAACATTAAAAATGGGTTCATTCTTAAAGAAAATTCAATTCTTACCTTTTTAGTATTCATTTTGAAAACATAATAGTCTTGAAAAGAAAGAAAACTGTCGAAATTCCAAGGAAACTCTCCAAATTATCCAAATTGACTGTATTGCTAGTCATATCGAGTTCTAATCCTCTCTCATAAGGCTTGAAACAGCTGAATAATCCTGAAAAATAGAAAAAAAAACATTAAAAATGGGTTCATTCTTATAGAAAATTCAATTCTTACCTTTTTAGTATTCATTTTGAAAACATAATATTCTTGAAAAGAAAGAAAACTGTCGAAATTCCAAGGAAACTCTCCAAATTATCCAAATTGACTGTATTGTTAGTCATATCGAGTTCTAATCCTCTCTCATAAGGCTTGAAACAGCTGAATAATCCTGAAAAATAGAAAAAGAATCATTAAAAATGGATTTATTCTAATAGAAAATTCAAATCTTACCTTTTTAGTATTCATTTTGAAAACATAATAGTCTTGAAAAGGAAGAAAACTGTCGAAATTCCAAGGAAACTCTCCAAATTATCCAAATTGACTGTATTGCTAGTCATATCGAGTTCTAATCCTCTCTCATAAGGCTTGAAACAGCTAAATAATCCTGAAAAATAGAAAAAGAATCATTAAAAATGGATTTATTCTAATAGAAAATTCAATTCTTACCTTTTTAGTATTCATTTTGAAAACATAATAGTCTTGAAAACGGAAGAAAACGGTCGAAATTCAAAGGAAACTCTCCAAACTATCCAAATTGACTGTATTGCTAGTCATATCGAGTTCTAATCCTCTCTCATAAGGCTTGAAACAGCTGAATAATCCTGAAAAATAGAAAAAGAATCATTAAAAATGGATTTATTCTAATAGAAAATTCAATTCTTACCTTTTTAGTATTCATTTTGAAAACATAATAGTCTTGAAAACGGAAGAAAACGGTCGAAATTCAAAGGAAACTCTCCAAATTATCCAAATTGACTGTATTGCTAGTCATATCGAGTTCTAATCCTCTCTCATAAGGCTTGAAACAGCTGAATAATCCTGAAAAATAGAAAAAGAATCATTAAAAATGGATTTATTCTAATAGAAAATTCAATTCTTACCTTTTTAGTATTCATTTTGAAAACATAATAGTCTTGAAAACGGAAGAAAACGGTCGAAATTCAAAGGAAACTCTCCAAACTATCCAAATTGACTGTATTGCTAGTCATATCGAGTTCTAATCCTCTCTCATAAGGCTTGAAACAGCTGAATAATCCTGAAAAATAGAAAAAGAATCATTAAAAATGGATTTATTCTAATAGAAAATTCAATTCTTACCTTTTTAGTATTCATTTTGAAAACATAATAGTCTTGAAAACGGAAGAAAACGGTCGAAATTCAAAGGAAACTCTCCAAACTATCCAAATTGACTGTATTGCTAGTCATATCGAGTTCTAATCCTCTCTCATAAGGCTTGAAACAGCTGAATAATCCTGAAAAATAGAAAAAGAATCATTAAAAATGGATTTATTCTAATAGAAAATTCAATTCTTACCTTTTTAGTATTCATTTTGAAAACATAATAGTCTTGAAAACGGAAGAAAACGGTCGAAATTCAAAGGAAACTCTCCAAATTATCCAAATTGACTGTATTGCTAGTCATATCGAGTTCTAATCCTCTCATAAGGCTTGAAACAGCTGAATAATCCTGAAAAATAGAAAAAGAATCATTAAAAATGGATTTATTCTAATAGAAAATTCAATTCTTACCTTTTTAGTATTCATTTTGAAAACATAATAGTCTTGAAAAGAAAGAAAACTGTCGAAATTCCAAGGAAACTCTCCAAATTATCCAAATTGACTGTATTGCTAGTCATATCGAGTTCTAATCCTCTCTCATAAGGCTTGAAACAGCATTATAATCCTGAAAAATAGAAAAAGAATCATTAAAAATGGATTTATTCTAATAGAAAATTCAAATCTTACCTTTTTAGTATTCATTTTGAAAACATAATAGTCTTGAAAAGGAAGAAAACTGTCTAAATTCCAAGGAAACTCTCCAAATTATCCAAATTGACTGTATTGCTAGTTACATCGAGTTCTAATGCTCACTCATAAGGCTTGAAACAGCTGAATAATCCTGAAAAATAGAAAAAGAATCATTAAAAATGGATTTATTCTAATAGAAAATTCAAATCTTACCTTTTTAGTATTCATTTTGAAGACATAATAGTCTTGAAAATGGAAGAAAACTGTCGAAATTCCAAGGAAACTCTCCAAATTATCCAAATTGACTGTATTGTTAGTCATATCGAGTTCTAATGCTCACTCATAAGGCTTGAAACAGCATTATAATCCTGAAAAATAGAAAAATAATCATTAAAAATGGATTTATTCTAATAGAAAATTCAAATCTTACCTTTTTAGTATTCATTTTGAAAACATAATAGTCTTGAAAAGGAAGAAAACTGTCGAAATTCCAAGGAAACTCTCCAAATTATCCAAATTGACTGTATTGTTAGTCATATCGAGTTCTAATGCTCACTCATAAGGCTTGAAACAGCTGAATAATCCTGAAAAATAGAAAAAAAAAAACATTAAAAATGGGTTCATTCTTATAGAAAATTCAATTCTTACCTTTTTAGTATTCATTTTGAAAACATAATAGTCTTGAAAAGAAAGAAAACTGTCGAAATTCCAAGGAAACTCTCCAAATTATCCAAATTGACTGTATTGTTAGTCATATCGAGTTCTAATCCTCTCTCATAAGGCTTGAAACAGCTGAATAATCCTGAAAAATAGAAAAAGAATCATTAAAAATGGATTTATTCTAATAGAAAATTCAAATCTTACCTTTTTAGTATTCATTTTGAAGACATAATAATCTTGAAAAGGAAGAAAACTGTCGAAATTCCAAGGAAACTCTCCAAATTATCCAAATTGACTGTATTGTTAGTCATATCGAGTTCTAATGCTCACTCATAAGGCTTGAAACAGCTGAATAATCCTGAAAAATAGAAAAAAAAACATTAAAAATGGGTTCATTCTTATAGAAAATTCAATTCTTACCTTTTTAGTATTCATTTTGAAAACATAATAGTCTTGAAAAGAAAGAAAACTGTCGAAATTCCAAGGAAACTCTCCAAATTATCCAAATTGACTGTATTGCTAGTCATATCGAGTTCTAATCCTCTCTCATAAGGCTTGAAACAGCTGAATAATCCTGAAAAATAGAAAAAAAAAACATTAAAAATGGGTTCATTCTTATAGAAAATTCAATTCTTACCTTTTTAGTATTCATTTTGAAAACATAATAGTCTTGAAAAGAAAGAAAACTGTCGAAATTCCAAGGAAACTCTCCAAATTATCCAAATTGACTGTATTGCTAGTCATATCGAGTTCTAATCCTCTCTCATAAGGCTTGAAACAGCTGAATAATCCTGAAAAATAGAAAAAGAATCATTAAAAATGGATTTATTCTAATAGAAAATTCAATTCTTACCTTTTTAGTATTCATTTTGAAGACATAATAGTCTTGAAAACGGATGAAAACGGTCGAAATTCAAAGGAAACTCTCCAAACTATCCAAATTGACTGTATTGCTAGTCATATCGAGTTCTAATCCTCTCTCATAAGGCTTGAAACAGCTGAATAATCCTGAAAAATAGAAAAAGAATCATTAAAAATGGATTTATTCTAATAGAAAATTCAATTCTTACCTTTTTAGTATTCATTTTGAAAACATAATATTCTTGAAAAGAAAGAAAACTGTCGAAATTCCAAGGAAACTCTCCAAATTATCCAAATTGACTGTATTGCTAGTCATATCGAGTTCTAATCCTCTCTCATAAGGCTTGAAACAGCTGAATAATCCTGAAAAATAGAAAAAAAAAACATTAAAAATGGGTTCATTCTTATAGAAAATTCAATTCTTACCTTTTTAGTATTCATTTTGAAAACATAATAGTCTTGAAAAGAAAGAAAACTGTCGAAATTCCAAGGAAACTCTCCAAATTATCCAAATTGACTGTATTGCTAGTCATATCGAGTTCTAATCCTCTCTCATAAGGCTTGAAACAGCTGAATAATCCTGAAAAATAGAAAAAGAATCATTAAAAATGGATTTATTCTAATAGAAAATTCAATTCTTACCTTTTTAGTATTCATTTTGAAGACATAATAGTCTTGAAAACGGATGAAAATGGTCGAAATTCAAAGGAAACTCTCCAAACTATCCAAATTGACTGTATTGCTAGTCATATCGAGTTCTAATCCTCTCTCATAAGGCTTGAAACAGCTGAATAATCCTGAAAAATAGAAAAAGAATCATTAAAAATGGATTTATTCTAATAGAAAATTCAATTCTTACCTTTTTAGTATTCATTTTGAAAACATAATAGTCTTGAAAAGAAAGAAAACTGTCGAAATTCCAAGGAAACTCTCCAAATTATCCAAATTGACTGTATTGCTAGTCATATCGAGTTCTAATCCTCTCATAAGGCTTGAAACACCTGAATAATCCTGAAAAATAGAAAAAGAATCATTAAAAATGGATTTATTCTAATAGAAAATTCAAATCTTACCTTTTTAGTATTCATTTTGAAAACATAATAGTCTTGAAAAGAAAGAAAACTGTCGAAATTCCAAGGAAACTCTCCAAATTATCCAAATTGACTGTATTGCTAGTCATATCGAGTTCTAATCCTCTCTCATAAGGCTTGAAACAGCTGAATAATCCTGAAAAATAGAAAAAGAATCATTAAAAATGGATTTATTCTAATAGAAAATTCAAATCTTACCTTTTTAGTATTCATTTTGAAAACATAATAGTCTTGAAAAGGAAGAAAACTGTCGAAATTCCAAGGAAACTCTCCAAATTATCCAAATTGACTGTATTGTTAGTCATATTGAGTTCTAATCCTCTGAAAAATAGAAAAAAAAAAACATTAAAAATGAGTTTATTATAGAAAATTAAATTCTTACCTTTTTAGTATTCATTTTAAAGGTAAAAGCATTCTGATAAAAGGTAGAAAAGGGTAAATAATACAATGAAACTCTAAATTACTCAAATTTGCCCTTTTCAATTTTACTGATAACAAAAAAATCATTCGTTACCAAGTTATTTTTCAACCAATTTTAATGATTTCTGTTTCAAATAATTGTTTTCGAATGATATTTTGTCTTGTTAACATAATATTAGTAAGTACTTACGTTTTAAATTCATTATTTGGGTAACCGAAGATACTCTGATTGAAGTAAAAGATGAATCGAAGAATGGTAAAAATCGTAGAAAAAATCCAAAATATTGTCCTAATTGTTGTTGGTGGTTTGCTTTACGTTTCTAGTAGTCATTTACTTCCGATTTTTCAGTGTCAATCCTGCAAAATAAGGTGAAATTATAAGTAATGTAAGTAAGTTCCTTTTTATTCTACGGGTAACAAAAAATCATTCGATACTTTGTTAAATATCAATAAATTTCTACGATTTTCGTATAAAACAATCTTAATCGAACGATATTTTGTGCTAATAGAACATTTTATCAAGTACTTACGATTTAAGCAGCCTATACTTTTGAATAAAAGTAATCCACGTAGTTCTTCGAACGAAGGAAAAAATGTTAGGTTTCATTTCTCCGTTATTTCTTGACCGATTTTTATCATTTTTTCTTTAAAACGACGCTTACTTAGTCCTCTTTCGGCTTTTCCATACTCTGGAAACTGTATTTACACCCAAAAAGTGGTATTCCTCTAAATGTAGCACCATTTATTGAGGTAGGATTTTCTACGTAGACCATTCTTCGAATCCAAATATTGACTAATAATCAAGGAACTTTGTCACAATATGCTTACTGGGTCCTTTTTCCCAACTTCAGTTAGGTATTTGCGGTCAAATATAGGCTGCAGGTGCTCTAAAAAGTAAAATAATTTGGTTAAAAAGCGGCTTTATGAAACTTAACCTACAATGTTTTAAATGGGTTATTTCTTGTACGGGACCATTTAAATATTGTAGATTGTTTGTAAAGGTATTAAATCATCAAATAAGCTCACTTACCTTGAATTTAACGCTGAAAATCCATTAAAAAATGCGAAATAAAGCGGATCGAAGCGCAAGTTTCTTTTCCGACGGTAGTTTCAAATGACACTGTTGACACTTGACAGTTTTGGCATTTTCCATTTCCAAATTTCTAGACGAATTTTAAACGGATTATTTAACTTAATCTTGTTTATTTTTACAGATTATGCAACAAAATAGGTTGCTGAGACGATTTTTTATTCATTTACTTACATTTACGTAGGTATCGTAAGGTTTATGTAGACACTGACCTGAATGGTAAAAGGCCTATGAATCTTCTTCGTTAATTCTTTACCGATTTTTGTCGTTTTTTTCGTTAAAATGACGACTATTTAGTCTTCTTTCGACATATCCATACTCTGGAAATGGTTCTTACATTCAAAAAGTGGTATTCCTCTAAATGTAACACCATGTATTGAGGTAGGATTTTCTACGTAGACCATTCTTCTAATCCAAATATCGACTAATAATCGACGGAATTTACCACAACATGCTTACTGGGACCTTCATTTCGTCATCAGTTTGGTACTTATCGTGAAATATAGGCCGTAAACCCTCTAAAAAAGTAAAATAATTTGGTTAAAAAGCGGCTTTATGAAACTTAACCTACAATGTTTTAAATGGGTTATTTCTTGTACGGGACCATTTAAATATCGTAGAATATTGTTTGTAGAGGTATTAAATAGTCAAATAAACTCACTTACCTTGAATTTAACGCTGAAAATCCATTAAAAAAAGCGAAATTAGGCGGATCGAAGCGCAAGCGACCCGTCCCGTCGACAGTTTCAAATGACACTGTTGACATTTCCGAATTTTTCGACGAAAATTTTTTAGCTGGTTATTTATTCTCGTTTATTTTTACAAATTATTCAATAAAACGCTCGTAGAAACGATTTTTTATTCATTTTCTTAGATATAATTGTGTAATTTCAAAATTTCTCGGAGATCGGTTCGCCGAGTGAAGGTTCGGCAAAATTCGGATCCACGCGAAAGTACGAAAAATGACACAAAATTACGTACACTTCAAAAAATTTCAACATGGCCGACAATTTTCATTTTCAAATCGCGATTGCGAGCGAAAACGAATTTAGTCGGAGAAAAGACGGTCATTTTCGTAATCAGCGGGTCCGTTTTCATCTTCCTACACCCCTCTCCGTCCCCGAATAATTCAAAAAGAATAAATCTCGCCAATGAATAGGATGACGCCTGGGGTTTTAGTATATATAAGACTCGCTGAAAGCTCGGAAAGGGGGCTTCGCCCCCTTTCAACCCCCCCGCGGCACAAAGCCAAGGCCTACCGGCCTTGTCTTTCGTACCGCGGTTTTGGTCACTGACCCGAAAAGTAAGAGGCTTATGAAATCTAATGAAAAAACTGCCCACGTTCCTAAAAAAAATAAAATATAGTCATATGTAGTAAGGTTTTTTCCTACAGATAAATCAAATTATACCTTTAAACCGAGCGAGCGAAGCGGATGAAGAGGATCCCAAGTAGTTATGGTAGGCTTCTCTCTCATAGTTAATTTTTAATATTTACCCTTCACTAAGCGAGCGAAGATCATGTTCCCCAAATGTCTAAGTAGTAAAAGGCCGCAGTCATCAAATTGCCGGTGTAGAATACTCTCCAAAATTTCCTAATTAACTGTATGAATAGTCTTAACACGTTCCAATCCTCTCACATTTATAACAGTTACAGAATCCTAAAAAAATTAATAAATACAATTAGAAATGGGTACATTTTCATAGAACATTCAATACTTTTCTTTTCAGTATTCACTTTGAAGGAAAGCATTTTGGTAAAAGGTAAAAGAAAACTTCGAAATATGCATTTATACAGACGTTTATATTAAATGCTCGATGACAAAAATCAGAAAGAACCAGATAATAAATATTTTTTTAAATCATTTAGAACTGTCTAAAACTATTTAAAACATTCTAGAAACATTATGAATTCCTCGGAATCATTTACAACGCTTCAGAATTATTTAAAACTGTATAGATCATTTAGAACGTTCTAGAACCATTAGAACCCTCTACAATCATTTAGAACTATCTAAAACCATTTAGGATGCTCTAGAATCATGTACAAAGCTTTTGCATAATGTAGAACGTTCTACAATCATTTAGAACTGTTCAGAATTATTTAAAACACTTCAGAATCTTTTAGAACTATTTAAACCGACATAGAATGTTTTAGAATCAATTAGAATGCTCCAGTATCATTTACAATATTTCAGAATCATTTAAAACTGTTCAGAATCATTTAAAACACTTCAGAATCTTTTAGAACTATTTAACCCGACATAGAATGTATTAGAATCAATTAGAATGCTCCAGTATCATTTACAATATTTTGGAATCCTTTTGAACTGTTTAAATCTATACAGGTCGTACGAACTGATCCGCTGCAAGCATACAATGAGAATAATGAGATAGCTAATTGAACTTTTGCTATGTAAGGAATAAAGAGAGCATACAAAATAATCACGCCCGCTATCCCCGCTATTCGCTAGTGGACGAAGCGAAGCGAATTGACGAATTCTAATATCGGCCGGCAACCGATAAACAAGTTTATGTTCTTTACTATCTTATAGTATTGATTGAGATTCTAATTCTAATGCTTGCAGCGGATCAGTTCGTACGACCTGTATAGAACGTCTTAGAATTTTTTACAATGTTTCAGAATCATTCAGAACAGTCTAGAATAATTTAGAACGTTCTACAATCATTTAGAATGCTCCAAAATGATTTACAACGCTTTAGAGTCATTTAGAACTGCCCAGAATCGTTCAGAATGGATCCAGTTCGTCATAAACTGTCGTAAAAAACCGCAAGGACATCGATCTGCTGGTAAAGGAATATCAATTAGAGCGAAAAACCTGCTATCCAGGTGTCTTGACTAAGTTGTAGAAGATCGTAGAGATTACAAAAGCTTGAAACGGCTTCAGAATCCTGAAAAATAGAAAAAGAATCATTAAAAATGGGTTCATTCCCATAGGACATTTAATTTTTACCTTTTTAGTATTCATTTTGAAGACATAATAGTCTTGAAAACAGAAGAAAACGGTCAAAATTCCAAGGAAACTCTCCAAATTATCCAAATTGACTGTATTGCTAGTCATATCGAGTTCTAATCCTCTCTCATAAGGCTTGAAACAGCATTATAATCCTGAAAAATACAAAAAAAAAACATTAAAAATGGGTTCATTTCCATAGAAAATTCAATTCTTACCTTTTTAGTATTCATTTTGAAGACATAATAGTCTTGAAAACGGAAGAAAACGATCAAATTTCCAAGAAAACTCTCCAAATTATCCAAATTGACTGCATTGTTAGTCATATCGAGTTCTAATCCTCTCTCATAAGGCTTGAAACAGCTGAATAATCCTGAAAATAGAAAAAAAAAAACATTAAAAAGGGTTCAATCTTATAGAAAATTCAATTCTTACCTTTTTAGTATTCATTTTGAAGACATAATAGTCTTGAAAACGGAAGAAAACTGTCAAAATTCCAAAGAAGCTGTCCAAATTATCCAAATTGACTGTATTGCTAGTCGAATCGAGTTCTAATGCTCTCTCATAAGGCTTGAAACAGCTTTATAATCCTGAAAAATAGAATAAAAATGATTAAAAATGGGTTTATTCTCCTAGAAAATTCAATTCTTACCTTTTTAGTATTCATTTTGAATACTTAATAGTCTTGAAAACGGAAGAAAACTGTCAAAATTCCAAGAAAACTCTCCAAATTATCCAAATTGACTGCATTGCTAGTCATATCGAGTTCTAATCCTCTCTCATAAGGCTTGAAACAGCTGAATAATCCTGAAAAATAGAATAAAAATTATTAACAATGGGTTCATTCTTATAGAAAATTCAATTCTTACTTTTCAGTATTCATTTTGAAGACATAATAGTCTTGAAAATGGAAGAAAACTGTCAAAATTCCAAGGAAACTCTCCAAATTATCCAAATTGACTGTATTGTTAGTCATATCGAGTTCTAATCCTCTCTCATAAGGCTTAAAACAGCTTTATAATCCTGAAAAATAGAATAAAAATGATTAAAAATGGGTTTATTCTCCTAGAAAATTCAATTCTTACCTTTTCAATATACAATTTGAAGATATAATAGTCTTGAAAACGGAAGAAAACGGTCGAAATTCCAAGGAAACTCTCCAAATTATCCAAATTGACTGTATTGCTAGTCATATCGAGTTCTAATCCTCTCTCATAAGGCTTGAAACAGCATTATAATCCTGAAAAATAGAATAAAAATCATTAAAAATGGGTTCATTCTTATAGAAAATTTAATTCTTACCTTTTCAGTATTCAATTTGAAGGCATAATAGTCTTGAGAACGGAAGAAAACTGTCAAATTTCCAAGGAAACTCTCCACATTATCCAAATTGACTGTATTGTTAGTCATATCGAGTTCTAATCCTCTCTCATAAGGCTTGAAACAGCATTATAATCCTGAAAAATAGAATAAACATCATTAAAAATGGGTTCATTCTTATAGAAAATTTAATTCTTACCTTTTCAGTATTCAATTTGAAGGCATAATAGTCTTGAAAATGGAAGAAAACTGTCAAAATTCCAAGGAAACTCTCCAAATTATCCAAATTGACTGTATTGCTAGTCATATCGAGTTCTAATCCTCTCTCATAAGGCTTGAAACAGCATTATAATCCTGAAAAATAGAATAAAAATCATTAAAAATGGGTTCATTCTTATAGAAAATTTAATTCTTACCTTTTCAGTATTCAATTTGAAGGCATAATAGTCTTGAGAACGGAAGAAAACTGTCAAATTTCCAAGGAAACTCTCCACATTATCCAAATTGACTGTATTGTTAGTCATATCGAGTTCTAATCCTCTCTCATAAGGCTTGAAACAGCATTATAATCCTGAAAAATAGAATAAACATCATTAAAAATGGGTTCATTCTTATAGAAAATTTAATTCTTACCTTTTCAGTATTCAATTTGAAGGCATAATAGTCTTGAGAACGGAAGAAAACTGTCAAATTTCCAAGGAAACTCTCCAAATTATCCAAATTGACTGTATTGCTAGTCATATCGAGTTCTAATCCTCTCTCATAAGGCTTGAAACAGCATTATAATCCTGAAAAATGGAATAAACATCATTAAAAATGGGTTCATTCTTATAGAAAATTTAATTCTTACCTTTTTAGTATTCATTTTGAAAACATAATAGTCTTGAAAACGGAAGAAAACGATCAAATTTCCAAGGAAACTCTCCAAATTATCCAAATTGACTGTATTGCTAGTCATATCGAGTTCTAATCCTCTCTCATAAGGCTTGAAACAGCATTATAATCCTGAAAAATAGAATAAACATCATTAAAAATGGGTTCATTCTTATAGAAAATTTAATTCTTACCTTTTCAGTATTCAATTTGAAGGCATAATAGTCTTGAGAACGGAAGAAAACTGTCAAATTTCCAAGGAAACTCTCCACATTATCCAAATTGACTGTATTGCTAGTCATATCGAGTTCTAATCCTCTCTCATAAGGCTTGAAACAGCATTATAATCCTGAAAAATAGAATAAACATCATTAAAAATGGGTTCATTCTTATAGAAAATTTAATTCTTACCTTTTCAGTATTCAATTTGAAGGCATAATAGTCTTGAGAACGGAAGAAAACTGTCAAATTTCCAAGGAAACTCTCCACATTATCCAAATTGACTGTATTGTTAGTCATATCGAGTTCTAATCCTCTCTCATAAGGCTTAAAACAGCATTATAATCCTGAAAAATAGAATAAAAATCATTAAAAATGGGTTCCTTCCCATAGAAAATTCAATTGTTACCTTTTCAGTATTCAATTTGAAGGCATAATAGTCTTGAGAACGGAAGAAAACTGTCAAATTTCCAAGGAAACTCTCCACATTATCCAAATTGACTGTATTGTTAGTCATATCGAGTTCTAATCCTCTCTCATAAGGCTTGAAACAGCATTATAATCCTGAAAAATAGAATAAAAATCATTAAAAATGGGTTCCTTCCCATAGAAAATTCAATTCTTACCTTTTCAGTATTCAATTTGAAGGCATAATAATCTTGAGAACGGAAGAAAACTGTCAAATTTCCAAGGAAACTCTCCAAATTATCCAAATTGACTGTATTGCTAGTCATATCGAGTTCTAATCCTCTCTCATAAGGCTTAAAACAGCATTATAATCCTGAAAAATAGAATAAACATCATTAAAAATGGGTTCATTCTTATAGAAAATTTAATTCTTACCTTTTCAGTATTCAATTTGAAGGCATAATAGTCTTGAGAACGGAAGAAAACTGTCAAATTACCAAGGAAACTCTCCACATTATCCAAATTGACTGTATTGTTAGTCATATCGAGTTCTAATCCTCTCTCATAAGGCTTGAAACAGCATTATAATCCTGAAAAATAGAATAAAAATCATTAAAAATGGGTTCCTTCCCATAGAAAATTCAATTCTTACCTTTTCAGTATTCAATTTGAAGGCATAATAATCTTGAGAACGGAAGAAAACTGTCAAATTTCCAAGGAAACTCTCCAAATTATCCAAATTGACTGTATTGCTAGTCATATCGAGTTCTAATCCTCTCTCATAAGGCTTAAAACAGCATTATAATCCTGAAAAATAGAATAAACATCATTAAAAATGGGTTCATTCTTATAGAAAATTTAATTCTTACCTTTTCAGTATTCAATTTGAAGGCATAATAATCTTGAGAACGGAAGAAAACTGTCAAATTTCCAAGGAAACTCTCCACATTATCCAAATTGACTGTATTGTTAGTCATATCGAGTTCTAATCCTCTCTCATAAGGCTTAAAACAGCATTATAATCCTGAAAAATAGAATAAAAATCATTAAAAATGGGTTCCTTCCCATAGAAAATTCAATTGTTACCTTTTCAGTATTCAATTTGAAGGCATAATAGTCTTGAGAACGGAAGAAAACTGTCAAATTTCCAAGGAAACTCTCCACATTATCCAAATTGACTGTGTTGTTAGTCATATCGAGTTCTAATCCTCTCTCATAAGGCTTGAAACAGCATTATAATCCTGAAAAATAGAATAAACATCATTAAAAATGGGTTCATTCTTATAGAAAATTTAATTCTTACCTTTTCAGTATTCAATTTGAAGGCATAATAGTCTTGAAAATGGAAGAAAACTGTCAAAATTCCAAGGAAACTCTCCAAATTATCCAAATTGACTGTATTGCTAGTCATATCGAGTTCTAATCCTCTCTCATAAGGCTTGAAACAGCTGAATAATCCTGAAAAATAGAAAAAAAAAAACATTAAAAAGGGTTCAATCTCATAGAAAATTCAATTCTTAACTTTTTAGTATTCATTTTAAAGGTAAAAGCATTCTGATAAAAGGTAGAAAAGGGTAAATAATACAATGAAACTCTAAATTACTCAAATTTGCCCTTTTCAATTTTACTGATAACAAAAAATCATTCGTTACTAAGTTATTTTGCAACCAATTTTAATGATTTCTGTTTTAAGTAAATGCATTCGAATGATATTTTGTCTTGTTAACATATGATTAGTAAGTACTTACGTTTTAAATACATTATTCTGGTACCCGAAGATACTCCGATCGAAGTAAAATTTGTTTCGAAGAATGGTAAAAATCGCAGAAATAATCCAAAATATTGTCCTAATTATTGTTGGTGGTTTGCTTTACGTTTCTAGTAGTCATTTACTTTCTATTTTTCAGTGTCAATCCTGCAAAATAAGGTAAAATTATAAGTAATAAAAGTTCCTTTTTATTCTACGGGTAACAAAAAAATCATTCGATACTTTGTTAAATATCAATAAATTTTTACGATTTTCGTATAAAACAATCTTAATCGAATGATATTTTGTGTTAATAAAGCATTTTATCAAGTACTTACGATTTAAGCAGCTTATACTTTTGAATAAAAGTAACCCATGTAGTTCTTCGAACAAAGGAAAAAATGTTAGGTTTCATTTCTCCGTTATTTCTTGACCGATTTTTAACATTTTTTCTTTAAAACGACGCTTACTTAGTCCTCTTTCGGCTTATCCATACTCTGGAAACTGTATTTACACCCAAAAAGTGGTATTCCTCCAAATGTAGCACCATTTATTGAGGTAGGATTTTCTACGTAGGCCATCTTCGAATCCAAATATCGACTAATAATCGACGGAATTTACCACAATATGCTTACTGGGACCTTCTTTTCAACATCAGTTTGGTAATAATCGTGAAATATAGGCTGCAGGTCTTCTAAAAAGTAAAATAATTTGGTTAAAAAGCGGCTTTATGAAACTTAACCTACAATGTTTTAAATGGGTTATTTCTTGTACTGGATCAATTTAATTATCGTAGATTGTTTGTAGAGGTATTAAATCGTCAAATAAGCGTACTTACCTTGAATTTAACGTTGAAAATCCATTAAAAATGCGAAATTAAACGGATCGAAGCGCAAGTATCTTTTCCGACAGTAGTTTCAAATGACACTGTTGACACTTGACAGTTTTGGCATTTTCCATATCCAAATTTCTAGACGAATTTTAAACGGATTATTTAACTTAATCTTATTTATTTTTACAGATTATGCAACAAAAAAGGTTGCTGAAACGATTTTTTATTCATTTACTTACATTTACGTAGGTATCATAAGGTTTATGTAGACACTCACCCGAATGGTAAAAGGCCTATGAATCTTCTTCGTTAATTCTTTACCGATTTTTATCGTTTTTTTCTTTAAAATGACCACTATTTAGTCTTCTTTCGGCAGATCTATACTTTACAAACGGTTCTTACACCAAAAAAGTAGTATTCCTCTAAATGTAGCACCATGTATTGAGGTAGGATTTTCTACGTAGGCCATTCTTCGAATCCAAATATTGACCAATTATCAAGGGAATTTGGCACAATATGCTTACTGGGACCTTGTTTTCATCTTCAGTTGGTTATTTTTGGTCAAATAAAGGCTGCACCTCCTCTAAAAAGTAAAATAATCTGCTTAATAAACGGCTTTATTCAACTTAACCTTGCAATTTTTAAATGGGTTATTTCTTATTCGGGACCATTTAAATATCGTAGGAGATTGTTTGTAGAGGTATTAAATCGTCAAATAAGCTTACTTACCTTGAATTTAACGCTGAAAATCCATTAAAAAGGCGAAATTATGCGGATCGAAGCGCAAGCGACCCGTCCCGTCGGCAGTTTCAAATGACACTGTTGACATATTCAAATTTCTCGACGAAAATTTTTTAGCTGGTTATTTATTTTCGTTTATTTTTACAAATTATTCAATAAAACGCTCGTAGAAACGATTTTTTATTCATTTACTTACATTTACTCAAGTAATTTGAAAATTTCTCGGAGATCGGTTCGCCGAGTGAAGGTTCGGCAAAATTCGGATCCACGCGAAAGTACGAAAAATGACACAAAATTACGTACACTTCAAAAATTTTCAACATGGCCGACAATTTTCATTTTCAAATCGCGATTGTGAGCGAAAACGAATTTAGCCGGGGAAAAGACGGTCATTTTCGTAATCAGCGGGTCCGTTTTCATCTTCCTACACCCCTCTCCGTCCCCGAATAATTCAAAAAGAATAAAACTCTCCAATCAATAGGATGTCGCCTGGGGTTTTAGTATATATAAGACTCGCTGAAAGTTCGGAAAGGGGGCTTCGCCCCCTTTCAACCCCCCCGCGGCACAAAGCCAAGGCCTACCGGCCTTGTCTTTCGTACCGCGGTTTTGGTCACTGACCCGAAAAGTAAGAGGCTTATGAAATCTGATGAAAACCTGCCCACGTTACTAAACAAACTTTCCTACAGATAAATCAAATTATACCTTTATAAACCGAGCGAGCGAAGCGGATGACGAGCATCCCAAGTAGTTATGGTAGGTTTCTCTCACATAGGTAATTTTTAATATTTACCCTTCACTAAGCGAGCGAAGATCATGTTCCCCAAATGTCCAAGTAGTAAAAGGCCGCAAAGTCATCAAATTGCCGGTGCAGAATACTCTCCAAAATTTCCTAATTAACTGTATAAATAGTCTTAACACGTTCCAATCCTCTCACGTTTAAAACAGTTACAGAATCCTAAAAAATTAATAAATACAATTAGAAATGGGTTCATTTTCATAGAACATTCAATACTTTTCTTTTCAGTATTCACTTTGAAGGAAAGCATTTTGGTAAAAGGTAAAAGAAAACTTCGAAATATCCATTTATACAGACGTTTATAGTAAATGCTCGATGACAAAAATCAGAAAGAACCAGATAATAAATATTTTTTTAAATCATTTAGAACTGTCTAAAACTATTTAAAACATTCTAGAATAATTAAGAATTCTTCGGAATCATTTACAACGCTTCAGAATCATTTAAAACTATATAGATCATTTAGAACGTTCTAGAACCATTAGAACCCTCTACAATCATTTAGAACTATCTAAAACCATTTAGGATGCTCTAGAGTCATGTACAAAGCTTTTGCATAATGTAGAACGTTCTACAATCATTTAGAACGCTGCAGTATTTTTTGCAATTTTTCAGAATCATTTAGAATTGTTTAAACCCTTTTTTATACCGTTTTAGAATTATTTAAAATGCTCCAGTAATAATTACAATATTTCAGAATCATTTAGAATTATTTAGAAGACTTCAGAATCCTTTACAACTGTCTTAACCCATTTAGAACCTTTTAGAATCATTTAGAATGCTCCAGTATCATTTACAATATTTTGGAATCCTTTTGAACTGTTTAAACCTATACAGGTCGTACGAACTGATCCGCTGCAAGCATACAATGAGAATTATGAGATAGCTAATTGAACTTTTGCTATGTAAGGAATAAAGAGAGCATACAAAATAATCACGCCCGCTATCACCGCTATTCGCTAGTGGACGAAGCGAAGCGAATTGACGAATTCTAATATCGGCCGGCAACCGATAAACAAGTTTCTGTTCTTTACTATCTTATAGTATTGATTGAGATTCTAATTCTAATGCTTGCAGCGGATCAGTTCGTACGACCTGTATAGAACGTCTTAGAATTTTTTACAATGTTTCAGAATCATTCAGAACAGTCTAGAATAATTTAGAACGTTCTACAATCATTTAGAATGCTCCAAAATGATTTACAACGCTTTAGAGTCATTTAAAACTGCCCAGAATCGTTCAGAACGGATCCAGTTCGTCATATACTGTCGTAAAAAACCGCAAGGACATCGATCTGCTGGTAAAAAAATCAATTAGAGCGAAAATCCTGCTATCCAGGTGTCTTGACTAAGTTGTAGAAGACCGTAGAGATTACAGAAGATTGAAACGGCTTCAGAATCCTAAAAAATAGAAAAAGAATCATTAAAAATGGGTTCATTCTTATAGAAAATTCAATTCTTACCTTTTTAGTATTCATTTTGAAGACATAATAGTCTTGAAAACGGAAGAAAACGGTCGAAATTCAAAGGAAACTCCAAATTATCCCAATTGACTGAATTGCTAGTCATATCGAGTTCTAATGCTCACTCATAAGGCTTGAAACAGCATTAAAATCCTGAAAAATAGATAAAAAATCATTAAAAATGGGGGTATTCTTATAGAAAATTCAATTCTTACTTTTTTAGTATTCATTTTGAATACATAATAGTCTTGAAAACGGAAGAAAACGGTCAAATTTCCAAGGAAACTCTCCAAATTATCCAAATTGACTGTATTGCTAGTCATATCGAGTTCAAATCGTCTCTCATAACGCTTGAAACAGCTTTATAATCCTTAAAAATAGAAAAAAAATCATTAAAAATGGGTTTATTATTATAGAAAATTCAATTCTTACCTTTTCAGTATTCATTTTGAATACATAATAGTCTTGAAAACGGAAGAAAACTGTCAAAATTCCAAGAAAACTCTCCAAATTATCCAAATTGACTGTATTTCTAGTCATATCGAGTTCGAATCCTCTCTCATAAGGCTTGAAACAGCTGAATAATCCTGAAAAATAGAAAAAAAAAACATTAAAAATGGGTTCAATCTCATGGAAAATTTAATTCTTACCTTTTTAGTATTTATTTTGAAGATATAATAGTCTTGAAAACGGAAGAAAACTGTCAAAATTCCAAGAAAACTCTCCAAATTATCCAAATTGACTGTATTTCTAGTCATATCGAGTTCGAATCCTCTCTCATAAGGCTTGAAACAGCTGAATAATCCTGAAAAATAGAAAAAAAAACATTAAAAATGGGTTTATTCTCATAAAAAAATTCAATTCTTACCTTTTTAGTATTTATTTTGAAGATATAATAGTCTTGAAAACGGAAGAAAACTGTCAAAATTCCAAGAAAACTCTCCAAATTATCCAAATTGTCTGTATTGCTAGTCATATCGAGTTCGAATCCTCTCTCATAAGGCTTGAAACAGCTGAATAATCCTGAAAAATAGAAAAAAAAACAATTAAAATGGGTTCATTCTTATAGAAAATTCAATTCTTACCTTTTTAGTATTCATTTTGGAGACATAATAGTCTTGAAAACAGAAGAAAATGATCGAAATTCAAAGGAAACTCTCCAAATTATCCAAATTGACTGTATTGCTAGTCATATCGAGTTCGAATCCGCTCTCATAAGGCTTGAAACAGCTTTAAAATCCTGAAAAATAGAATAAAAATCATTAAAAATGGGTTTATTCTTATAGAAAATTCAATTCTTACCTTTTTAGTATTCATTTTAAAGACATAATAGTCTTGAAAACGGATGAAAACGGTCGAAATTCAAAGGAAACTCTCCAAATTATCCAAATTGACTGCATTGTTAGTCATATCGAGTTCTATCCTCTCTCATAAGGCTTGAAACAGCTGAATAATCCTGAAAAATAGAAAAAAAAAACATTAAAAATGGGTTCAATCTCATAGAAAATTTAATTCTTACCTTTTTAGTATTTATTTTGAAGATATAATAGTCTTGAAAACGGAAGAAAACTGTCAAAATTCCAAGGAAACTCTCCAAATTATCCAAATTGACTGCATTGTTAGTCATATCGAGTTCTATCCTCTCTCATAAGGCTTGAAACAGCTGAATAATCCTGAAAAATAGAAAAAAAAAACATTAAAAATGGGTTCAATCTCATAGAAAATTTAATTCTTACCTTTTTAGTATTTATTTTGAAGATATAATAGTCTTGAAAACGGAAGAAAACTGTCAAAATTCCAAGGAAACTCTCCAAATTATCCAAATTGACTGCATTGTTAGTCATATCGAGTTCTATCCTCTCTCATAAGGCTTGAAACAGCTGAATAATCCTGAAAAATAGAAAAAAAATATTAAAAATGGGTTCATTCTTATAGAAAATTCAATTCTTACCTTTTTAGTATTCATTTTGAAGACATAATAGTCTTGAAAACGAAAGAAAACTGTCAAAATTCCAAAGAAGCTCTCCAAATTATCCAAATTGACTGTTTTGCTAGTCATATCGAGTTCTAATCCTCTCTCATAAGGCTTGAAACAGCTGAATAATCCTGAAAAATAGAAAAAAAAACATTAAAAAGGGTTCAATCTCATAGAAAATTCAATTCTTACCTTTTCAGTATTCATTTTGAAGACATAATAGTCTTAAAAACGAAAGAAAACTGTCAAAATTCCAAAGAAGCTCTCCAAATTATCCAAATTGACTGTTTTGCTAGTCATATCGAGTTCTAATCCTCTCTCATAAGGCTTGAAACAGCTGAATAATCCTGAAAAATAGAAAAAAAAACATTAAAAAGGGTTCATTCTTATAGAAAATTCAATTCTTACCTTTTCAGTATTCATTTTGAAGACATAATAGTCTTAAAAACGAAAGAAAACTGTCAAAATTCCAAAGAAGCTCTCCAAATTATCCAAATTGACTGTTTTGCTAGTCGTATAGAGTTCAAATCCTCTCTTATAAGGCTTGAAACAGCTTTATAATCCTGAAAAATAGAATAAAAAAACATTAAAAATAGGTTCATTCTTATAGAAAATTCAATTCTTACCTTTTTAGTATTCATTTTTAATACATAATAGTCTTGGAAACGGAAGAAAACGGTCGAAATTCCAAGGAAACTCTCCAAATTATCCAAATTGACTGTATTGTTAGTCATATCGAGTTCTAATCCTCTCTCATAAGGCTTGAAACAGCTGAATAATCCTGAAAAATAGAATAAACATCATTAAAAATGGGTTTATTCTTATAGAAAATTCAATTCTTACCTTTTTAGTATTCATTTTAAAGACATAATAGTCTTGAAAACGGATGAAAACGGTCGAAATTCAAAGGAAACTCTCCAAATTATCCAAATTGACTGTATTGTTAGTCATATCGAGTTCGAATCCTCTCTTATAAGGCTTGAAACAGCTGAATAATCCTGAAAAATAGAAAAAAAAACATTAAAAATGGGTTCAATCTCATAGAAAATTTAATTCTTACCTTTTTAGTATTTATTTTGAAGACATAATAGTCTTGAAAACGGATGAAAACGGTCGAAATTCAAAGGAAACTCTCCAAATTATCCAAATTGACTGCATTGTTAGTCATATCGAGTTCTATCCTCTCTCATAAGGCTTGAAACAGCTGAATAATCCTGAAAAATAGAAAAAAAAAAACATTAAAAAAAGGTTCATTCTCATAGAAAATTCAATTCTTACCTTTTTAGAATTCATTTTGAAGACATAATAGTCTTGAAAACGGAAGAAAACTGTCAAAATTCCAAGGAAACTCTCCAAATTATCCAAATTGACTGTATTGATAGTCATATCGAGTTCTAATGCTCACTCATAAGGCTTGAAACAGCTGAATAATCCTGAAAAATAGAAAAAAAAACATTAAAAAGGGTTCATTCTTATAGAAAATTCAATTCTTACCTTTTCAGTATTCATTTTGAAGACATAATAGTCTTAAAAACGAAAGAAAACTGTCAAAATTCCAAAGAAGCTCTCCAAATTATCCAAATTGACTGTTTTGCTAGTCGTATAGAGTTCAAATCCTCTCTTATAAGGCTTGAAACAGCTTTATAATCCTGAAAAATAGAATAAAAAAACATTAAAAATAGGTTCATTCTTATAGAAAATTCAATTCTTACCTTTTTAGTATTCATTTTTAATACATAATAGTCTTGGAAACGGAAGAAAACGGTCGAAATTCCAAGGAAACTCTCCAAATTATCCAAATTGACTGTATTGTTAGTCATATCGAGTTCTAATCCTCTCTCATAAGGCTTGAAACAGCTGAATAATCCTGAAAAATAGAATAAACATCATTAAAAATGGGTTTATTCTTATAGAAAATTCAATTCTTACCTTTTTAGTATTCATTTTAAAGACATAATAGTCTTGAAAACGGATGAAAACGGTCGAAATTCAAAGGAAACTCTCCAAATTATCCAAATTGACTGTATTGTTAGTCATATCGAGTTCGAATCCTCTCTTATAAGGCTTGAAACAGCTGAATAATCCTGAAAAATAGAAAAAAAAACATTAAAAATGGGTTCAATCTCATAGAAAATTTAATTCTTACCTTTTTAGTATTTATTTTGAAGACATAATAGTCTTGAAAACGGATGAAAACGGTCGAAATTCAAAGGAAACTCTCCAAATTATCCAAATTGACTGCATTGTTAGTCATATCGAGTTCTATCCTCTCTCATAAGGCTTGAAACAGCTGAATAATCCTGAAAAATAGAAAAAAAAAAAACATTAAAAAAAGGTTCATTCTCATAGAAAATTCAATTCTTACCTTTTTAGAATTCATTTTGAAGACATAATAGTCTTGAAAACGGAAGAAAACTGTCAAAATTCCAAGGAAACTCTCCAAATTATCCAAATTGACTGTATTGCTAGTCATATCGAGTTCTAATGCTCACTCATAAGGCTTGAAACAGCATTATAATCCTGAAAAATAGAAAAAGAATCATTAAAAATGGGTTTATTCTTATAGAAAATTCAATTCTTACCTTTTTAGTATTCATTTTAAAGACATAATAGTCTTGAAAACGGATGAAAACGGTCGAAATTCAAAGGAAACTCTCCAAATTATCCAAATTGACTGTATTGTTAGTCATATCGAGTTCGAATCCTCTCTTATAAGGCTTGAAACAGCTGAATAATCCTGAAAAATAGAAAAAAAAACATTAAAAATGGGTTCAATCTCATAGAAAATTTAATTCTTACCTTTTTAGTATTTATTTTGAAGACATAATAGTCTTGAAAACGGATGAAAACGGTCGAAATTCAAAGGAAACTCTCCAAATTATCCAAATTGACTGCATTGTTAGTAATATCGAGTTCTATCCTCTCTCATAAGGCTTGAAACAGCTGAATAATCCTGAAAAATAGAAAAAAAAATATTAAAAATGGGTTCATTCTTATAGAAAATTCAATTCTTACCTTTTTAGTATTCATTTTGAAGACATAATAGTCTTGAAAACGAAAGAAAACTGTCAAAATTCCAAAGAAGCTCTCCAAATTATCCAAATTGACTGTTTTGCTAGTCGTATAGAGTTCAAATCCTCTCTTATAAGGCTTGAAACAGCTTTATAATCCTGAAAAATAGAATAAAAAAACATTAAAAATAGGTTCATTCTTATAGAAAATTCAATTCTTACCTTTTTATTATTCATTTTGAATACATAATAGTCTTGGAAACGGAAGAAAACGGTCGAAATTCCAAGGAAACTCTCCAAATTATCCAAATTGACTGTATTGCTAATCATATCGAGTTCGAATCCTCTCTCATAAGGCTTGAAACAGCTGAATAATCCTGAAAAATAGAAAAAAAAAACATTAAAAAGGGTTCAATCTCATAGAAAATACAATTCTTACCTTTTTAGTATTCATTTTGAAGATATAATAGTCTTGAAAACGGAAGAAAACGGTCAAAATAGCTTCATAATCCTGAAAAATAGAAAAAAATCATTAAAAATGAGTTCATTCTCATAGAAAATTCAATTCTTACCTTTTTAGTATTCATTTTAAAGTTAAGAGCATTTTAATAAAAGGTAGAAAATGGTAGATAATACCATAAAACTCCAAATTACTCAAATGTGCCCTTAATTTTACTGATAACAAAAAATCATTCGTTACCAAGTTATTTTTTAACAAATTTTAATGATTTCTGTTTCAAATAAATGTATTCGAATGATATTTTGTCCTGTTAACATAATATTAGTAAGTACTTACGTTTTAAACTCATTATTGTGGTACCCGAAGATACTCCGATCGAAGTAAAAGATGTTTCGAAGAATGGTAAAAATCGCAGAAAAAATCCAAAATATTGTCCTAATTGTTGTTGGTGGTTTGTTTTACGTTTCTAGTAGTCAATTACTTCCTATTTTTCAGTGTCAATCCTGCAAAATAAGGTGAAATTATAAGTAATAAATGTTCCTTTTTATTCTACGGGTAACAAAAAATCATTCGATACTTTGTTAAATATCAATAAATTTCTACGATTTTCGTATAAAACAATCTTAATCGAACGATATTTTGTGCTAATAGAACATTTTATCAAGTACTTACGATTTAAGCAGCTTATACTTTTGAATAAAAGTAACCCATGTAGTTCTTCGAACGAAGGAAAAATGTTAGGTTTCATTTCTCCGTTATTTCTGGACCAATTTTAATCATTTTTTCGTTAAAACGACGCTTACTTAGTCCTCTTTCGGCTTTTCCATACTCTGGAAACTGTATTTACACCCAAAAAGTGGTATTCCTCCAAATGTAGCACCATTTATTGAGGTAGGATTTTCTACGTAGACCATTCTTCGTATCCAAATATTGACTAATAATCAAGGGACTTTGTCACAATATGCTTACTGGGTCCTTTTTCTCAACTTCAGTTAGGTATTTTCGGTCAAATATAGGCTGCAGGTCCTCTAAAAAGTAAAATAATTTGGTTAAAAAGCGGCTTTATGAAACTTAACCTACAATGTTTTAAATGGGTTATTTCTTGTACGGGACCATTTAAATATCGTAGATTGTTTGTAAAGGTATTAATATCATCAAATAAGCTCACTTACCTTGAATTTAACGCTGAAAATCCATTAAAAATGCGAAATTAGGCGCATCGAAGCGCAAGTTTCTTTTCCGACGGTAGTTTCAAATGACACTGTTGACACTTGACAGTTTTGCATTTTCCATTTCCAAATTTCTAGACGAATTTAAAACGGATTATTTAACTTAATCTTGTTTATTTTTACAGATTATGCAACAAAAAAGGTTGCTGAAACGATTTTATATTCATTTACTTAAATTTACGTAGGTATCGTAAGGTTAATGTAGACACTCACCCGAATGGTAAAAGGCCTATGAATCTTCTTCGTTAATTCTTGACCGATTTTTATCGTTTTTTTCTTTAAAATGATCACTATTTAGTCTTCTTTCGGCAGATCTATACTTTACAAACGGTTCTTACACCCAAAAAGTGGTATTCCTCCAAATGTAACACCATGCATTGAGGTAGGATTTTCTACGTAAACCATTCTTCGAATCCAAATATTGACAAATTATCAAGGGAATTTGGCACAATATGCTTACTTGGACCTTGTTTTCATCTTCAGTTGGTTATTTTTGGTCAAATAAAGGCTGCACCTCCTCTAAAAAGTAAAATAATCTGCTTAATAAACGGCTTTATTCAACTTAACCTTGCAATTTTTAAATGGGTTATTTCTTATTCGGGACCATTTAAATATCGTAGAAGATTGTTTGTAGAGGTATTAAATTGTCAAATAAGCTTACTTACCTTGAATTTAACGCTGAAAATCCATTAAAAAGGCGAAATTATGCGGATCGAAGCGCAAGCGACCCGTCCCGTCGGCAGTTTCAAATGACACTGTTGACATATTCAAATTTCTCGACGAAATTTTTTTAGCTGGTTATTTATTCTTGTTTATTTTTACAAATTATTCAATAAAACGCTTGTAGAAACGATTTTTTATTCATTTTCTTAGATATAATTGTGTAATTTCAAAATTTCTCGGAGATCGGTTCGCCGAGTGAAGGTTCGGCAAAATTCGGATCCACGCGAAAGTACGAAAAATGACACAAAATTACGTACACTTCAAAAATTTTCAACATGGCCGACAATTTTCATTTTCAAATCGCGATTGTGAGCGAAAACGAATTTAGTCGGGGAAAAGACGGTCATTTTCGTAATCAGCGGGTCCGGTTTCATCTTCCTACACCCCTCTCCGTCCCCGAATAATTCAAAAAGAATAAAACTCTCCAATCAATAGGATGTCGCCTGGGGTTTTAGTATATATAAGATACATATGTAAACAATATGTTCATAACACCTCAATTTGCAAAGAAATTTCCTCAATACAGAGGAATATTATTCTGTCCAAAATGCACACATGAAATGTTTGACCACAATGTTGTATTTACACAATCGTTACCTCAGGATCAGCTAGATACATCAAAGATCCCTGAAGAGAGAAATCAAGGCCTTTATTCAATAACATCTTACAGATATGATGAATTGTTAACAACACTGTCATTATCAATAGGACAATCTTTTGCTTCTGATGTTGACAAGTTTTATATCAGCCATCTGGCAGATAGACAAGTATTAGGGGTAAGCAACACTATAGATTTCAAAGCAATGTCAATATAGTAGAGCTCCGATATGCATGTCCATCACTTGTTCTCTGTGGACTTTTCATCCATTAGTTTTATTTATTTTTCATTTTTTAATTGAAACTCGGGTTTATAATTTTATTTCTGTAGGACTTTTATTACATTTTTTTGAGATTTCTCAAAGAGAGAGAAGTTTTTTTCATGAAAAAAACCCGAGTCATGCTACGTTACTTAAAGGGACATCCAGGAGAATTACAAGAAACGATTAAAGAAATAGAATCAGGAAATTTTGATATGGACAACGATATTGTATTTTTAACAAGAAAAGAAAGGGAATTAGGATCCGACGGTGGAAGAACTTACTGCTCTCAAACATTTAGACAACGTTTGCAACAGACTGTATGTGAAGGCAATATCAAAAAGAGCATTTTTCCATATTTCCCTCAACAAACCATGTCCGATTCTGAATTAGCAGTCAACAAGAAGGTAGCAAGTATGTTGAAAGTCCAGCAAGAAAATGGAGAGATTTTCAACTTCGACTTAGAAAAATGGAACCAATTTCAACGAGTCCCTTCGGTTGATCCCATTGCAAATGACATCAATGATTTATTTGGTTTTAGACATCTTTTCTTAGACGCGCATAACTGGTTACAACGTTGTTATGTGTTGCGAAATAACAGACGCACTCCACCTAGAATATCATTTGATCAAATAAGGCCACCTAATTATAGAACTACCAGGCATGGTCAAGAATTTTTAGAACAGATCAATTTCATAACAAACACAGAAGATTCCAGAAATTATCTTCCCGAGATAGGAGAAAACTGTCATATAGGACAACTAGGGGGATTAGAAGGCATGAAACAGAAATTATGGCATAATGGAAGATCATGCACATTTCTTCTTGCAGCAGAAATGCACAGATTAAATGTAAACTTAATGGGATCCGCTGACAATCAAACTCTGGCTCTAAAATATAGACCATCTCAAAGACATAGAACCTCAACAATTAGAGAGGAGTTCTTGAACACTCTAGACTCATTGTTCAAAGGACAAGGACTAAGACTAAAACAAGAAAAAACATGGGTATCCACAAGATTATTTGGGTATGGAAAGAAACGGTGGTTATACGGAATACCTATTTCCAACGGCACAAAGAGAGCCATGAGAATTATTTCGGAAGAAAATGACGGTGTACCCTCTATATGAATCCTCTGTGAATCCTCTGTGAATCCTCTATATGTTTACTAGCTACATCAACAGAAAATATAGCCACATATACTCAAACTGCAGATACGGCTTTTATTATAAATCTTATAGAACTATTCATACTGATTTTCCGGAAAATAATCTTAGATCTCGAGGTCATAAAAAATGTAGTAAATCTAGACGAGAAGATATCTCTGCTAGCCTGCATTTCATTCTGGCCAAACATACTGGGTGGATTACCCATTTCATCATACGCTAATCATAATATTCGAGGTCTAGATGATAAACTTACATTATGGCTGAATCTATATAAAACAGTTAGAAATCAACAAATTAATCCTCATCTTTGGAAATGTATAATGCAGTTAGTTCCACTTGTCCACAGGAAGGAGAAAGATTATAAAAGATTAATTGAAGACATTTTTTCATTAAATATCCCTACTTTACCTGTAGCTAACCTAATAATTAAAGATATTGTCCAAGAGTATATACCTATTTATGCAACAAACCCAGAGATAAAAAAGATTTTAGCCCTTGATATCAGTGGAACTGAGGCACTAATAGACTACTTAATGTCAATGAACCCTTTATATCTACCTATCATACATGAAATATTTCGTAATTCTAATACAGGAACTATAAAGAATCTCCAAAATAAATTAACTAATGTTTAATCCATCATAAAGATAACACAAGAAGACCATAGGGGAGATCTGTAGAATCAGATTCTCGATATGGACAAAAGTATCTGCAGACAATTAGGCAAGCGCTTCAACCAGCTTTTTAAAATAGTAGTAAGCATAGATAAATCACCTACACAAACTTTAGACATTTATTTTCTAAAATATCCTTGTTCTTACGAGATGGCCCGCACAATCCGCTTTGACAGTTGGGGAATTGAGCCTATCGGTTCTGTTGGGGTAAATGTCGGGATAATTACTTCCCTCACGTACGAACAAACAACCACTTTATTAGGGTAAAAAACATAAATAGAAAAGACCGTTTCTTGTATCGCTGTGTCGAGTTAAGAGTCTCGAAGTTAAGTCGTTCTTCTCGCGGTTTCTCTGCGGAAACTCGCGCATCCCTTACTCCCTCCGGTGTAGGCAGTAAGCGCGAAAAAATCGTAAATAGAATTTAAAATTGAAATAGAATGCGCTAACAGGTTCTTCTCATCCTGTTTCCTGGGAGCAGTTTCAACTTGTCAATTTTGAAGATTTAGACCCTAATTATTATAATAAAAGTATTGCCATCCAGCTCTCAGAGGAACTTGTTAATTGTAACACTCTCTATAACTCAAATTTAGGTAGAAAACTTATATACTTTGGATCAACAACAAAGGAAAAGATGAAATCAACGAGAACCCTATTTTTGACTAGTACTCCCTTCCTTTACTCTTTAAAAAATCTACTCCACCTATATGCATGGGCTAAGAGAATGAAATCCATTCCTCTCATGAATATATTAGACATGATGCTTGAGTCCAAAGCCGCCATCCTGCCAGAGGGTCTAACAATCTCCGGCTTAGTATCAGAAATACCCGAAATTTATTCAGGGCACGCGGGCCATAGGTTCCATTCAATTGGAGAATCATCAGGTGCGATGACAAACATAACCCCTACAATCTCAAGTCATATAAGATTTAGTACTAGTTCTTTCATTGATTACACAAGAACCGGACTAGATTACAACATCTTTTACCAGGCAACAATCTTATACTTTAATACATATGTAAACAATATGTTCATAACACCTCAATTTGCAAAGAAATTTCCTCAATACAGAGGAATATTATTCTGTCCAAAATGCACACATGAAATGTTTGACCACAATGTTGTATTTACACAATCGTTACCTCAGGATCAGCTAGATACATCAAAGATCCCTGAAGAGAGAAATCAAGGCCTTTATTCAATAACATCTTACAGATATGATGAATTGTTAACAGCACTGTCATTATCAATAGGACAATCTTTTGCTTTTGATGTTGACAAGTTATATATCAGCCATCTGGCAGATAGACAAGTATTAGGGGTAAGCAACACTATAGATTTCAAAGCAATGTCAATATAGTAGAGCTCCGATATGCATGTCCATCACTTGTTCTCTGTGGACTTTTCATCCATTAGTTTTATTTATTTTTCATTTTTTAATTGAAACTCGGGTTTATAATTTTATTTCTGTAGGACTTTTATTACATTTTTTTTGAGATTTCTCAAAGAGAGAGAAGTTTTTTTTCATGAAAAAAACCCGAGTCATGCTACGTTACTTAAAGGGACATCCAGGAGAATTAAGGTCATTGCGAGAATGACGGAAACCACATTGTGTGTTCCTGTTTTCAATGGCGATGCCCTAAGGGCGGGTAACTACGTGCGCTTCTTTACAAGAAGGGCAACGTCTTACCCTGCTCGCCAGTCCGGTCCGTCTCAGGCTTCGGACTTTGTTGGGTTGCTGGAGGACTTGGAAAGTTCCGTCGCAGCCCTCCTTCCCCTAGTTCGAGTGCCGGTTTTCCCGGTTTATACGGGTAAACCGGGTAGGAAGCGAATCGCTTCCACTTGTAACGCATTGTGCTGCGCCTTTATCAGCGTATGGCCGTCCTGTCAATTTGATTTGACGGCCAATGTTGCCAACTGCCGTGCGATGGCCGGCCTAAGAGACATTGTCTCCTGGGTCTTGCGCGCGTACGGCGGTAACGGAGAGGCCTTCGTCGCCAAGTCCCTTAAGGGGCTGGCGGCATGGCTTCGTTTCCTGGCTGGCAACCAGCTACATGCTAAACCTCCCCCTCTGCTGCGCTTCCCCTTCTCCAATGAAGTGGGGGAAGTCTCGCCGGATTTGCTCTTCCGAGGTAGCATTGCTAACTCGGCGAAATGCCAGAAGTCGCTGTTGCGATTTTCTCGCTTCGCCAGAGCGCTGCCAGCTGGCGGGGGGTGGGCCGTGGAAATTGCCTTGCGCGAACATCGTCGCGAGGCTACCTCTTGCCCCCCAGTCTTGCCCGCACTTGCAGACCGCTTCTTTGAAGTGGTCCAAAAAGTGACTAAGGACAAGTTGGAAGGGCTGGAGGATCCCGGATTCACCCTTTCAAGAGCAGTGCTTGTTTGGAGAGAACCCGCGCCTGAGGGGTGCGGCGGAAGAAATTCGAGTGCAATTACGCAACACGTTTCCGGACCTGGACACCCGTGTCTTCAATGAAGACGGGTCGACCAATTTCGTATTGTTGAACCCTGACGGCACTATTCGTGCCGGGAGCCAGCTTTACTCTTCCAGAGTGGAGCGTTTTAAGCACCCGGTGACGGGATTACCGATGAGCACCGGTATCTTGACAGGCTGGTCCACCACGTTTGTGTGGAACAGGCCTTCGGCTTACCAGCTCCTATCTCTGTCCCTACTTGGGACGAGGCAGAGCCAGAGATCTCTCTTCCAGAGAGATACATGCCGACCCACAAGGTGATCTGCGTCCCTGATAGGGGCGCGTTCAAAGTGAGGGTCATAACTGCCGGTCCGGCTGCATTGCAGTCGTTAGCTCACCAGGTACGCAAGGTCCTTTACCGGACCGTCCTTCCCTTCTTGCCCACACGGTGGGCTTTGGTGGATGGCGGTCTACGTAAGTTCCTCAACCAAGTGGCATTGCCACCCGGTGCGGAACAGATGGGTTTAGGACCCTGGGTGGCGCTATCATATGACATGAAAGCAGCCACTGATCGATTCCCGCATTATCTCATAGAGAGCATCAATGATGCAATCGAATCCAATCTTACAGCGGTTCAGCGCGCCTCCCCAAATTGGGTGGCACATCGCAGCCTCTCGGGGCCGCAGAAGCTGAACTACGGGGATGAGGAAAATGAAGATATTATTATTTCTTCCTGTGGGAACTTGATGGGCACCGCCCCTAGCTGGTCACTGCTTAATCTGTTCAACTATTCGTTGTTCAGAATTGCGTGGTCCATTTGGAGCGATCGTGCCCTACGGAGAAGGTATCCTGAGTTGGTCTCCGCCACCGCTTCACGGTCCGATAAGTATCGTACCCCAGCGGTTTGGCGGAAGTTATTACAGGTCACCCGGCTGGTGATCGGTTCAGAGGATGAGCTGAAACATTGTTTTGGCTATCCTCGGTCTCTCCCGAAGTTTAACACATTGTGCGCACTGTGTGGAGATGATCTGGCTGCTGTTTGCCCGTTAGGGGTCGCTGTCGTTTACGAGCTTCTTTTGGAGCTGGCGAACGGTCGTGCTTCCCCAGGCAAACATTATATACAGCCCTTCCGGCCGGGCTCCTACATGCTATTAGCAGAGGAGTTCCTTTCTATAGGAGAATTACAAGAAACGATTAAAGAAATAGAATCAGGAAATTTTGATATGGACAACGATATTGTATTTTTAACAAGAAAAGAAAGGGAATTAGGATCCGACGGTGGAAGAACTTACTGCTCTCAAACATTTAGACAACGTTTGCAACAGACTGTATGTGAAGGCAATATCAAAAAGAGCATTTTTCCATATTTCCCTCAACAAACCATGTCCGATTCTGAATTAGCAGAATTAGCAGAACAAGAAGGTAGCAAGTATGTTGAAAGTCCAGAAAGAAAATGGAGAGATTTTCAACTTCGACTTAGAAAAATGGAACCAATTTCAACTAGCCCCTTCTGTTGATCCCATTGCAAATGATATCAATGATTTATTTGGTTTTAGACATCTTTTCTTAGACGCGCATAACTGGTTACAACGTTGTTATGTGTTGCGGAATAACAGACTCACTCCACCTAGAATATCATTTGATCAAATAAGGCCACCTAATTATAGAACTGCCAGGCATGGTCAAGAATTTTTAGAACAGACCAATTTCATAACAAACACAGAAGATTCCAGAAATTATCTTCCCGAGATAGGAGAAAACTGTCATATAGGACAACTAGGGGGATTAGAAGGCATGAAACAGAAATTATGGCATAATGGAACATCATGCACATTTCTTCCTGCAGCAGAAATGCACAGATTAAATGTAAACTTAATGGAATCCGCTGACAATCAAACTCTGGCTCTAAAATATAGACCATCTCAAAGACATAGAACCTCAACAATTATAGAGGAGTTCTTGAACACTCTAGACTCATTGTTCAAAGGACAAGGACTAAGACTAAAACAAGAAAAAACATGGGTATCCACAAGATTATTTGGGTATGGAAAGAAACGGTGGTTATACGGAATACCTATTTCCAACGGCACAAAGAGAGCCATGAGAATTATTTCGGAAGAAAATGACGGTGTACCCTCTATATGAATCCTCTGTGAATCCTCTGTGAATCCTCTGTGAATCCTCTATATGTTTACTAGCTACATCAACAGAAAATATAGCCACATATACTCAAACTGCAGATACGGCTTTTATTATAAATCTTATAGAACTATTCATACTGATTTTCCGGAAAAGAATCTTAGATCTCGAGGTCATAAAAAATGTAGTAAATCTAGACGAGAAGATATCTCTGCTAGCCTGCATTTCATTCTGGCCAAACATACTGGGTGGATTACCCATTTCATCCTACGCTAATCATAATATTCGAGGTCTAGATGATAAACTTACATTATGGCTGAATCTATATAAAACAGTTAGAAATCAACAAATTAATCCTCATCTTTGGAAATGTATAATGCAGTTAGTTCCACTTGTCCACAGGAAGGAGAAAGATTATAAAAGATTAATTGAAGACATTTTTTCATTAAATATCCCTACTTTACCTGTAGCTAACCTAATAATTAAAGATATTGTCCAAGAGTATATACCTATTTATGCAACAAACCCAGAGATAAAAAAGATTTTAGCCCTTGATATCAGTGGAACTGAGGCACTAATAGACTACTTAATGTCAATGAACCCTTTATATCTACCTATCATACATGAAATATTTCGTAATTCTAATACAGGAACTATAAAGAATCTCCAAAATAAATTAACTAATGTTTAATCCATCATAAAGATAACACAAGAAGACCATAGGGGAGATCTGTAGAATCAGATTCTCGATATGGACAAAAGTATCTGCAGACAATTAGGCAAGCGCTTCAACCAGCTTTTTAAAATAGTAGTAAGCATAGATAAATCACCTACACAAACTTTAGACATTTATTTTCTAAAATATCCTTGTTCTTACGAGATGGCCCGCACAATCCGCTTTGACAGTTGGGGAATTGAGCCTATCGGTTCTGTTGGGGTAAATGTCGGGATAATTACTTCCCTCACGTACGAACAAACAACCACTTTATTAGGGTAAAAAACATAAATAGAAAAGACCGTTTCTTGTATCGCTGTGTCGAGTTAAGAGTCTCGAAGTTAAGTCGTTCTTCTCGCGGTTTCTCTGCGGAAACTCGCGCATCCCTTACTCCCTCCGGTGTAGGCAGTAAGCGCGAAAAAATCGTAAATAGAATTTAAAATTGAAATAGAATGCGCTAACAGGTTCTTCTCATCCTGTTTCCTGGGAGCAGTTTCAACTTGTCAATTTTGAAGATTTAGACCCTAATTATTATAATAAAAGTATTGCCATCCAGCTCTCAGAGGAACTTGTTAATTGTAACACTCTCTATAACTCAAATTTAGGTAGAAAACTTATATACTTTGGATCAACAACAAAGGAAAAGATGAAATCAACGAGAACCCTATTTTTGACTAGTACTCCCTTCCTTTACTCTTTAAAAAATCTACTCCACCTATATGCATGGGCTAAGAGAATGAAATCTATTCCTCTCATGAATATATTAGACATGATGCTTGAGTCCAAAGCCGCCATCCTGCCAGAGGGTCTAACAATCTCCGGCTTAGTATCAGAAATACCCGAAATTTATTCAGGGCACGCGGGCCATAGGTTCCATTCAATTGGAGAATCATCAGGTGCGATGACAAACATAACCCCTACAATCTCAAGTCATATAAGATTTAGTACTAGTTCTTTCATTGATTACACAAGAACCGGACTAGATTACAACATCTTTTACCAGGCAACAATCTTATACTTTAATACATATGTAAACAATATGTTCATAACACCTCAATTTGCAAAGAAATTTCCTCAATACAGAGGAATATTATTCTGTCCAAAATGCACACATGAAATGTTTGACCACAATGTTGTATTTACACAATCGTTACCTCAGGATCAGCTAGATACATCAAAGATCCCTGAAGAGAGAAATCAAGGCCTTTATTCAATAACATCTTACAGATATGATGAATTGTTAACAGCACTGTCATTATCAATAGGACAATCTTTTGCTTCTGATGTTGACAAGTTTTATATCAGCCATCTGGCAGATAGACAAGTATTAGGGGTAAGCAACACTATAGATTTCAAAGCAATGTCAATATAGTAGAGCTCCGATATGCATGTCCATCACTTGTTCTCTGTGGACTTTTCATCCATTAATTTTATTTATTTTTCATTTTTTAATTGAAACTCGGGTTTATAATTTTATTTCTGTAGGACTTTTATTACATTTTTTTTGAGATTTCTCAAAGAGAGAGAAGTTTTTTTTCATGAAAAAAACCCGAGTCATGCTACGTTACTTAAAGGGACATCCAGGAGAATTAAGGTCATTGCGAGAATGACGGAAACCACATTGTGTGTTCCTGTTTTCAATGGCGATGCCCTAAGGGCGGGTAACTACGTGCGCTTCTTTACAAGAAGGGCAACGTCTTACCCTGCTCGCCAGTCCGGTCCGTCTCAGGCTTCGGACTTTGTTGGGTTGCTGGAGGACTTGGAAAGTCCCGTCGCAGCCCTCCTTCCCCTAGTTCGAGTGCCGGTTTTCCCGGTTTATACGGGTAAACCGGGTAGGAAGCGAATCGCTTCCACTTGTAACGCATTGTGCTGCGCCTTTATCAGCGTATGGCCGTCCTGTCAATTTGATTTGACGGCCAATGTTGCCAACTGCCGTGCGATGGCCGGCCTAAGAGACATTGTCTCCTGGGTCTTGCGCGCGTACGGCGGTAACGGAGAGGCCTTCGTCGCCAAGTCCCTTAAGGGGCTGGCGGCATGGCTTCGTTTCCTGGCTGGCAACCAGCTACATGCTAAACCTCCCCCTCTGCTGCGCTTCGCCTTCTCCAATGAAGTGGGGGAAGTCTCGCCGGATTTGCTCTTCCGAGGTAGCATTGCTAACTCGGCGAAATGCCAGAAGTCGCTGTTGCGATTTTCTCGCTTCGCCAGAGCGCTGCCAGCTGGCGGGGGGTGGGCCGTGGAAATTGCCTTGCGCGAACATCGTCGCGAGGCTACCTCTTGCCCCCCAGTCTTGCCCGCACTTGCAGACCGCTTCTTTGAAGTGGTCCAAAAAGTGACTAAGGACAAGTTGGAAGGGCTGGAGGATCCCGGATTCACCCTTTCAAGCAGTGCTTGTTTGGAGAGAACCCGCGCCTGAGGGGTGCGGCGGAAGAAATTCGAGTGCAATTACGCAACACGTTTCCGGACCTGGACACCCGTGTCTTCAATGAAGACGGGTCGACCAATTTCGTATTGTTGAACCCTGACGGCACTATTCGTGCCGGGGGCCAGCTTTACTCTTCCAGAGTGGAGCGTTTTAAGCACCCGGTGACGGGATTACCGATGAGCACCGGTATCTTGACAGGCTGGTCCACCACGTTTGTGTGGAACAGGCCTTCGGCTTACCAGCTCCTATCTCTGTCCCTACTTGGGACGAGGCAGAGCCAGAGATCTCTCTTCCAGAGAGATACATGCCGACCCACAAGGTGATCTGCGTCCCTGATAGGGGCGCGTTCAAAGTGAGGGTCATAACTGCCGGTCCGGCTGCATTGCAGTCGTTAGCTCACCAGGTACGCAAGGTCCTTTACCGGACCGTCCTTCCCTTCTTGCCCACACGGTGGGCTTTGGTGGATGGCGGTCTACGTAAGTTCCTCAACCAAGTGGCATTGCCACCCGGTGCGGAACAGATGGGTTTAGGACCCTGGGTGGCGCTATCATATGACATGAAAGCAGCCACTGATCGATTCCCGCATTATCTCATAGAGAGCATCAATGATGCAATCGAATCCAATCTTACAGCGGTTCAGCGCGCCTCCCCAAATTGGGTGGCACATCGCAGCCTCTCGGGGCCGCAGAAGCTGAACTACGGGGATGAGGAAAATGAAGATATTATTATTTCTTCCTGTGGGAACTTGATGGGCACCGCCCCTAGCTGGTCACTGCTTAATCTGTTCAACTATTCGTTGTTCAGAATTGCGTGGTCCATTTGGAGCGATCGTGCCCTACGGAGAAGGTATCCTGAGTTGGTCTCCGCCACCGCTTCACGGTCCGATAAGTATCGTACCCCAGCGGTTTGGCGGAAGTTATTACAGGTCACCCGGCTGGTGATCGGTTCAGAGGATGAGCTGAAACATTGTTTTGGCTATCCTCGGTCTCTCCCGAAGTTTAACACATTGTGCGCACTGTGTGGAGATGATCTGGCTGCTGTTTGCCCGTTAGGGGTCGCTGTCGTTTACGAGCTTCTTTTGGAGCTGGCGAACGGTCGTGCTTCCCCAGGCAAACATTATATACAGCCCTTCCGGCCGGGCTCCTACATGCTATTAGCAGAGGAGTTCCTTTCTATAGGAGAATTACAAGAAACGATTAAAGAAATAGAATCAGGAAATTTTGATATGGACAACGATATTGTATTTTTAACAAGAAAAGAAAGGGAATTAGGATCCGACGGTGGAAGAACTTACTGCTCTCAAACATTTAGACAACGTTTGCAACAGACTGTATGTGAAGGCAATATCAAAAAGAGCATTTTTCCATATTTCCCTCAACTAACCATGTCCGATTCTGAATTAGCAGAATTAGCAGAACAAGAAGGTAGCAAGTATGTTGAAAGTCCAGAAAGAAAATGGAGAGATTTTCAACTTCGACTTAGAAAAATGGAACCAATTTCAACTAGCCCCTTCTGTTGATCCCATTGCAAATGATATCAATGATTTATTTGGTTTTAGACATCTTTTCTTAGACGCGCATAACTGGTTACAACGTTGTTATGTGTTGCGGAATAACAGACTCACTCCACCTAGAATATCATTTGATCAAATAAGGCCACCTAATTATAGAACTGCCAGGCATGGTCAAGAATTTTTAGAACAGACCAATTTCATAACAAACACAGAAGATTCCAGAAATTATCTTCCCGAGATAGGAGAAAACTGTCATATAGGACAACTAGGGGGATTAGAAGGCATGAAACAGAAATTATGGCATAATGGAACATCATGCACATTTCTTCCTGCAGCAGAAATGCACAGATTAAATGTAAACTTAATGGAATCCGCTGACAATCAAACTCTGGCTCTAAAATATAGACCATCTCAAAGACATAGAACCTCAACAATTAGAGAGGAGTTCTTGAACACTCTAGACTCATTGTTCAAAGGACAAGGACTAAGACTAAAACAAGAAAAAACATGGGTATCCACAAGATTATTTGGGTATGGAAAGAAACGGTGGTTATACGGAATACCTATTTCCAACGGCACAAAGAGAGCCATGAGAATTATTTCGGAAGAAAATGACGGTGTACCCTCTATATGAATCCTCTGTGAATCCTCTGTGAATCCTCTATATGTTTACTAGCTACATCAACAGAAAATATAGCCACATATACTCAAACTGCAGATACGGCTTTTATTATAAATCTTATAGAACTATTCATACTGATTTTCCGGAAAAGAATCTTAGATCTCGAGGTCATAAAAAATGTAGTAAATCTAGACGAGAAGATATCTCTGCTAGCCTGCATTTCATTCTGGCCAAACATACTGGGTGGATTACCCATTTCATCCTACGCTAATCATAATATTCGAGGTCTAGATGATAAACTTACATTATGGCTGAATCTATATAAAACAGTTAGAAATCAACAAATTAATCCTCATCTTTGGAAATGTATAATGCAGTTAGTTCCACTTGTCCACAGGAAGGAGAAAGATTATAAAAGATTAATTGAAGACATTTTTTCATTAAATATCCCTACTTTACCTGTAGCTAACCTAATAATTAAAGATATTGTCCAAGAGTATATACCTATTTATGCAACAAACCCAGAGATAAAAAAGATTTTAGCCCTTGATATCAGTGGAACTGAGGCACTAATAGACTACTTAATGTCAATGAACCCTTTATATCTACCTATCATACATGAAATATTTCGTAATTCTAATACAGGAACTATAAAGAATCTCCAAAATAAATTAACTAATGTTTAATCCATCATAAAGATAACACAAGAAGACCATAGGGGAGATCTGTAGAATCAGATTCTCGATATGGACAAAAGTATCTGCAGACAATTAGGCAAGCGCTTCAACCAGCTTTTTAAAATAGTAGTAAGCATAGATAAATCACCTACACAAACTTTAGACATTTATTTTCTAAAATATCCTTGTTCTTACGAGATGGCCCGCACAATCCGCTTTGACAGTTGGGGAATTGAGCCTATCGGTTCTGTTGGGGTAAATGTCGGGATAATTACTTCCCTCACGTACGAACAAACAACCACTTTATTAGGGTAAAAAACATAAATAGAAAAGACCGTTTCTTGTATCGCTGTGTCGAGTTAAGAGTCTCGAAGTTAAGTCGTTCTTCTCGCGGTTTCTCTGCGGAAACTCGCGCATCCCTTACTCCCTCCGGTGTAGGCAGTAAGCGCGAAAAAATCGTAAATAGAATTTAAAATTGAAATAGAATGCGCTAACAGGTTCTTCTCATCCTGTTTCCTGGGAGCAGTTTCAACTTGTCAATTTTGAAGATTTAGACCCTAATTATTATAATAAAAGTATTGCCATCCAGCTCTCAGAGGAACTTGTTAATTGTAACACTCTCTATAACTCAAATTTAGGTAGAAAACTTATATACTTTGGATCAACAACAAAGGAAAAGATGAAATCAACGAGAACCCTATTTTTGACTAGTACTCCCTTCCTTTACTCTTTAAAAAATCTACTCCACCTATATGCATGGGCTAAGAGAATGAAATCCATTCCTCTCATGAATATATTAGACATGATGCTTGAGTCCAAAGCCGCAATCCTGCCAGAGGGTCTAACAATCTCCGGCTTAGTATCAGAAATACCCGAAATTTATTCAGGGCACGCGGGCCATAGGTTCCATTCAATTGGAGAATCATCAGGTGCGATGACAAACATAACCCCTACAATCTCAAGTCATATAAGATTTAGTACTAGTTCTTTCATTGATTACACAAGAACCGGACTAGATTACAACATCTTTTACCAGGCAACAATCTTATACTTTAATACATATGTAAACAATATGTTCATAACACCTCAATTTGCAAAGAAATTTCCTCAATACAGAGGAATATTATTCTGTCCAAAATGCACACATGAAATGTTTGACCACAATGTTGTATTTACACAATCGTTACCTCAGGATCAGCTAGATACATCAAAGATCCCTGAAGAGAGAAATCAAGGCCTTTATTCAATAACATCTTACAGATATGATGAATTGTTAACAGCACTGTCATTATCAATAGGACAATCTTTTGCTTCTGATGTTGACAAGTTTTATATCAGCCATCTGGCAGATAGACAAGTATTAGGGGTAAGCAACACTATAGATTTCAAAGCAATGTTAATATAGTAGAGCTCCGATATGCATGTCCATCACTTGTTCTCTGTGGACTTTTCATCCATTAATTTTATTTATTTTTCATTTTTTAATTGAAACTCGGGTTATAATTTTATTTCTGTAGGAATTTTATTACATTTTTTTGAGATTTCTCAAAGAGAGAGAAGTTTTTTTTCATGAAAAAAACCCGAGTCATGCTACGTTACTTAAAGGGACATCCAGGAGAATTAAGGTCATTGCGAGAATGACGGAAACCACATTGTGTGTTCCTGTTTTCAATGGCGATGCCCTAAGGGCGGGTAACTACGTGCGCTTCTTTACAAGAAGGGCAACGTCTTACCCTGCTCGCCAGTCCGGTCCGTCTCAGGCTTCGGACTTTGTTGGGTTGCTGGAGGACTTGGAAAGTCCCGTCGCAGCCCTCCTTCCCCTAGTTCGAGTGCCGGTTTTCCCGGTTTATACGGGTAAACCGGGTAGGAAGCGAATCGCTTCCACTTGTAACGCATTGTGCTGCGCCTTTATCAGCGTATGGCCGTCCTGTCAATTTGATTTGACGGCCAATGTTGCCAACTGCCGTGCGATGGCCGGCCTAAGAGACATTGTCTCCTGGGTCTTGCGCGCGTACGGCGGTAACGGAGAGGCCTTCGTCGCCAAGTCCCTTAAGGGGCTGGCGGCATGGCTTCGTTTCCTGGCTGGCAACCAGCTACATGCTAAACCTCCCCCTCTGCTGCGCTTCCCCTTCTCCAATGAAGTGGGGGAAGTCTCGCCGGATTTGCTCTTCCGAGGTAG